GGATTTCTCTCTCGAACGCGGTTGATGTGGAGTGCCAGTACATCGTGTCAGCCGCCCGCATGTACGACGAGGTCGACGGGTGGTTGCAGGAAACGCTGCTCCAGGAGACCCCTGACGTGGTGAATCGCTACCGTCTACGCGATGACACGGTGTGGGACGGTGTACAGCACACACTGGAGGAGGTGACTGTGGGCGAGGCCGAGGAACACGCCGCCCAGCACATGTTTGAACGTGTTGAGGCAGCGAAGCTACGTCGGCTGCTAGGCATTGTCACGCGACACTTTCGTGCATCTCACGCTGACGGCGTGGGACACTCGGATGTGGCAGGCACGCAGCGTCCCGCACACGACGCCGCTATGACGTTTTTCTGCGGCGGCGCCTTCATCCTCGGTGGGCCGCATGGTTGTGGTGGTCTCATCGCGGAAGGAGCAGGACGCGGTGTTTCCGCAACTGCTGGCCGGGCTGCGGGGGAGTGACGCGCGGGTTCGCTGCACATGCCAGCTGGTGGAATTTCAGCGGGGTGCAGCGGACGTGTTGGTGACGTACGACTGGATGTTGTGCGTGGCCGGCAGCGAGGACGAAGCGACGCACCGCCCTGTGGAGGTTGTTGTTAATTTTGGCTTTCCACGTGCGTTGATGGCGCCGGGGAGGGAGGAGAGCCTCCTGGAGTGCCTCGTGATACGCACCCGCGCTCTGCTGCACCCCACCGCCACTGCCACTGAAACCGCTAACTCCGCGCAGGCGAACGACGGTGCGACGACTGCCTTTTTTGCGGAAGGTGGAGCCTTCGCAGGGGCGCAGCCGACGGTGGTGACACTTCTGACGGAGCGTCAACTGCACGGACGGTTTGGGCGGCTTTTGGCATCGCGTGCACAGGCGATCGCGTCGATGTGAGGTGCGCCAGCTGGTGTGGCGTGCGGGGGAGAACGTGTTGCCCTCCCACGGGGAGAGAGAGATAGGGAGAGAAAGAAAGAAAGAAAGAAGTGAAGTAAGGGAACGGTGTAGTTTTCGCGGCCACGCTGTTTTTTTTTTTAAAGATGGAATTGCCGTTTTGTTGTGACTTTCTTTCCGTGGTTCTTCCATTTCCTCTCTTTCTCACTGCATGGCGACTGCCCACCGCTCTCCATGCATCCATGCAGGGTATACGCAAACATACGCAACGGCGTTTGTGGACGTCAACGTGCCCCACTTTGCCGCGCAGGACTTCGAGCATTACACTACAAGAGACACGCAGCTGCACGCGTGCTCTCGCGGGGTCTCGTGCTGCGGTCGATGTCACGGCTGACGCTGCCTCCCTCCCTTCGGCGATGGTTTCTTTGGTACCCGCGTCGCGGAGGCGAGTTTCTTGGTGACATGCTTGCTGGCCACAATCTCTTTATCGCCGACGTTCCCCGCAAGTTTGACGCCCAGCATGCGCGCCACTTCTCCTTTACCGATTCGCTCTGCATCACACCACTTTTTGCGCTGACGATGGTCCACTATTTCTCCAGCTTTTTTCTTTACCCCACGCGACGGCAGATGTTTCCGGTGCTCATGACAGAGCTCGCCCGCAAGACGGAGGCACAACTGCAGTGGATGGACGTCATGGCGAAAAGGTCGCCCGAGGGCGTGATTGCGTGGCGGGCCCTGATGGCGGTGACGCAAGTTGTGCTTTTCCCCGCTTGGCTGCTGCTTGCTTCTTTTGCCCCGCAGCTGCTGCACGCCATGCTGGAGCGTACAAACCACATCCTGCACCAAAAACTTGCCTGCGTCAGCAAGGATGCTCCGCCGTTTGTGCAGCAGTACATGACTGAAGCCCGTGAGGCGGAGGCTTTTCACAGCCAACAGCTATGCATCCCCACCGACTACTGTGCGGCTCTTCTTATCACTCTGTTGGTGCTGTACTTGACGTCGTAGATCGTTGCAGATGGCTCCCCTCGGTCTCCGAGGAGGTATATATGTGTCTCAATACATGTCCTCTCTCTCTCTCTGTGTGTGTGTTCTTTTTTTTTGTTTCCGACGTTGTTTTGCAGATGCCATACGTGTTGCTGTTTTTCTCCTGTCTGCTGAACTTTGTGTTTGGGCGGGGGGCACTTGCTACAGTTGCGCAAGCAAGGAACAGGGAAGGGATTCACCACTTTGATTGATTCATTTGAAGAACAAAAATGAGCGGTGATGCCAATTATATTCATAACACGAGGAAGAAGGTGCGCGTTTAGCATCCATCCCTGCAGTGCATACAATCGAAGTTGCGGACATGCGGCTGCTACTGCCTGTTTCGTCCTCTGTATTGAAGTTTCATGGCGCCGTTGAACGCCTCCTTCAGGCTGAAGAACAAAAAACTTTTTCTTGCTTGTGAACCTGAAGAGTGTGATTTCGTCTCCGGTGGGAGAACGCGTTGGCTGCTCGAGTCGTGCTACCAGTTTGAGCGAGAGGCAGGCGCAACAGAAGCCGACGAAGACTTTGAGCGGTGGCTGTCGCGTGAGCAGCGCATCTTAATTTATGGCGCTGACGCGAACTGGGGTCCGTTTTTATACTGGTCATATGGAAGGCCGCTTGTGCCCATTTCTGCCTTTTGCTGGACGCGTGGGCAGACGTGTGATCGGACGCTTCTTGGCTTGCAAGCTGCCGCTTTACCAGGAGGTGATGCGGCAGGCACCAGCGCACTTGTGGACATTTGTGTTGCACGGCGAACTTGTTGTCCTGTACAAGCAGCTGCTTTTGCCTGTGCCATAGGACGCGGACGTGGTCTGCTACGGCACTCAGCAGGAGATGAATAGCATAAGCAGTCAACTTGTCTCTTTGACAAACCATGAGACACCCAAGGAGTTGAATCTGATGCTGCTGAACCCGTCGCTGAATGAGCTCCGTGAATACGTCGGCAGCCGTCGTTGTGCCATCGACATCGGCCTCTGGCAGCTGAGTGATCGCGCGGTGGGTGGGGTGGGGTGGGGGTCGCACTCGCACTCGCATTTCTTTTTTTTTTTGCGCCGATTGCTTCAGGGAGTATTACTTGTATCACGACTTTGGTTTGGCGCTTGGAGAACGCCCACAGTGGTGCAATCCATGGTGGGGCAGCTGCGAGTCAAGATTGCCACACTGCCCGAGGCACGTCTGTTTCGCTTCCGCACCACAGCGGAGCTCGTCTTCTCGATGACTCCCATTCAGAGCGCAGAGTCGTTGCAGGATGACTTTTGGTCGTCACGAATGCCATGACATCCCGCCTGCATCATTCAAAGCCCCGGGTGCACGCACCACTCACAGGGCGCCACAGTATTTGGATTGAGAACGGCGAGGTGTCAGCGGGGTGGTCGCTCTAGCACCAAGCACCATTCCGTTATCGTTGGTGCGCCAAGGAACAGGTGGGAGTTGCACGTGCCCGCATATGTCTGCATCGATGTTGTGCCGGTTGGCTATGCGAGCGATGGTGGCAGCCGCCGGGGATGGCAGGCACGCCCTTAAGGCTTTTACAGCGCCGCTTATGGGGCTGTCAGGGTCAATGTCACGAAGTTTCTTGGCCCGTCGCTCGCGTGCTGGCTGGAGAAGCATGCTTTGTCCCTCGATGCCCTCACTGAAAAGAATGGCGCGATGCCGTTATTCGCTCATTTTGCACCGTTCTTCCCGAGGTGTGCGACTGGAGGATCTCGGCTGCGTCCTTCGCTGGGTGATTCACCCTTCGTCGTGCGACATGGCGGCGAGTGACGTGAAGCGGGCGAGTGAACTCTGGGTGGAAGGGCCGGCTGTATTCAGCGGGGGGGGAATGTTTTTTGTGGCAGACATTGCGGCACTGCTGAGGTCACGCGAGGCGTTTCACTGGGAACCACTTCCGATCATGGCGGCCCACGCACACAATGGCCGATTTTATCAAATGGACTTGGACCACATGGCGCGGAAATATGCCGCCGCCTCCTGCCGCTTCCTGAGAAACTGTCGGCAGAAGCCTCCATCATGCATCGCGTCTAGTAGCACATGCTTCGTGAAAGTGCCTTGCGCTACATTCGTGCGCTGTGGGACAAGGCCCCTCTTGTCCCACTGCCCCAGCGGAAGGAATGGGAGGAAAACTGCGAAAGAAGACTCGGAAAATCCTGCGGAAAAAGGTTAACGTGTGAAGAAGGAGTTGCCGTAAATTCTGCGGGGTGTCTCTATAAATTCCGAGGCTATTAAAAGAATATATAAGGTCCGAAGCAATGAGGAGATGGTAGCTTGCTCTGAAGAGGAAGAAGAAGAAGAGGCGTTTCCTCTGCTTTTAGAGGAATCACTGTAACAACTGACTATGATGCATGTGCTGTCGTCTCCGCAGCTCTCTGTGCATGACGATGAAACTCTTTTTGGCGGAGGATCTTCTTGCGTTGAGCTCTCAGATGAATGGACCGCCACCCCGCCGTAAAAGAGCCTCTACGGCAGTGGTGTCGTGAACGTGGCGGCCAACGTAAACGATTGGACCCCATTCGAAGTGTACCTTAAGGATTTTGCGACGCCGGACGTCACACTTCGCTTCATTGCCGTTGACTTCGTTGAGAAACTTTTGACGTTTGAGGAGCTGCGGCATTACAGCACGGTGGGTTTTCCCCTTTCCTTTCCGAAGGCAGCTCTTACACTGGCCGGATTTGTTTCTGAGTTTGCTGCGGAGACGTGTGCCACGCCGCAGGAACAACTTTGAGTTCCGTTTTGCGGCAAAGGCGTGGAGGTCACGCTGCCGGTGGCAATCTTGGTGGGGCCTGGGCTCGGTGACAGTTCGCTTTTTTCCGCTACATTGTCAGGCGTCTTGTCGGAGTTATGCGGCCTTGGCCGGGGAACACATGACGTGGGGGCACAGGCACTTTGCCTGCAGCAACTTGTCACCAATGGCTGCGTGTTTGAGAGTCTGTATGGCGGCTTGTGTCGTGGCGCAAAGTTCCTGCAGACCAACCCGGGTTTTTGGCAGAGTCCATGTGTTTGCTGGTTGTCAGAACACCTTATTTTTTTTTTTTGAGGATTCACGCTGCACGCCGTGTCACCTGCTCTACTACAGCGGCATTAGCCGCATGAAGAAAGTGACTTGAGAGGAGGTATTGCGTGGGGTGTTTTTGAGCCGCCCACTTCAGCTACGTGTGCTGGCCGAAATGCGCCAGCGGGCAGTTGACTTGCGTGATGCTATCGAACGTGGGGACCTTGAGCACTACGGTGGCCTCATCGGTGTAGCCTGGGAACTGGAAAGGCGTCTGTATTCCGGAGCATGTTCACCAGTCATTGCTGACATAATCTTGAGCGTGGAAAATGGGGTTTGGGACGTGAGGCTTGCGGGGGATTGTGGTGGCGGCGAGGGTGACGGGGGAAGGTATCTCTACTTGGTGCCGAGGAACGCGAGCGCCGCCCAGTGCATCCGGTACGGATTAACACAAAATTCACCAAATACCACGGTGCAATTTGTGGAGATGGGTGTTTCTCAGGGTGATATCGAAGTGAAGCGAATACGAAGCAGAAGGAAGTTTTTAAAGCTTTTTGTTTGTGCGCGTGTCTTCAGTGTTTATACGTGCTACTCTAGCGTGTGGAGTCGTCTTTTGACCACCGTCACCGCTGCGGAGGCAGCTGAAGCTTTTTTCTATGCATGTTTTTGTTGTGTTATCCACTTGCTTCCATTATGGTGGGACAGCGACGGCTTTCGTTTGATGCTCTTTTCCTCCTCCTTGCTCTATTTTTTTCTTGCATCCCGCTTTCTGGACTTGGCGTGGACACTGCTTTCGTGAGCCACGGGCGCGGAAAAGGAAGGAAGGAAGGAAGGAAGGGAGGGCGGGGGGTCTGCTCTTTTGGCTGTGTGTGTGCGCCCGTGGGAGAATGTCACCAAAGCTACAGGCAAAGAAGCAGCGGGTGCGGGTCACCAACCGGGCTCTTGAGGCGCGTCAGTTTTCCACTGTTCGTTTGCCGCGGAGGGCGGAGGCGCAGGTACCGCAGGTAGACGTAGAGCGGATGTACGACGACCGCGGCCGTGAGGGCGGGGACAGCGGCGCGAAGCGAGGTGATGGGAACGGTGGTGAGCAGGCGTCAGTGCCGTCCGTGTTTGACCCCATCCCCGCCGACCCGCTCTTTGTCGTGATTGTGAAATCCAAGTACTGGCCGCCGCCGCCGCTGGAAGAACTGCAGGCGAGAGGCGAGGGGGCCATCAGCGACGGCTTTGACGCCTACGACAGGCGCGAGGATGACAGTGCGGCGCGGAAGGAGCGGGTGAAGGTTGTACGGGGGGAGCTAAACCATCCACGCGGAAAGCCACGACAGAACACGCTTGTACAGTTGGACGATAGCGAGGATGATGGGGACAGAGACGGGGGAGGATGACTAGTAGCGACCCGGGCCACGTTGCGGGATAGGGAGGGGTCCGGTGTGGTTGCCGGTCCGCCATCGTCTGAAGTGCACAGGACGGGGAAGAAGAACGAGCGGCGTACGTGTGCGGTGGCGCTGGCCGTGGCTGGCGGGTGTACAAGTCGTGCAATCTCATTTTACTCTGGATAACAAGGGGAAAATAATAAACAGCAAAGACGAGTGAGGGTGCCTGCGTGAATGATGCTCTTGCAGTGCGTGTATGGTAGACACAGCCCAACTTTCCCTCCTCTCGATAAATATCCTTTCCACTGCTGTCTGTTTTGTCTTATGGACTCACTTTTTTTTTTTTTTCTCTCGCGCTCATACATGCACACTTACCCGCATTCAAGCATGCATATTCACACTGTGGAGCAAATACGGCGGCCGGGGTGCAAACTGCAGTGATACGTGAAATGTGGTGCTCGCGCCCGAAGTACCGCTATGGCGTGACGGCGCTGTTGGAACGCGGCGTGCGGTTTCTTAGCAGTCTGCTCCACGGCGTACCGCACTCGTCGTCGTCGCTGCTCCACTTTAATCCCCCTTCACTTTGGGGCAGGAGCGGGTGCACTTGGGAGGAGTGGAAGCGATGCCTTGAGGAGTCGCTTCGCCGTGGTGGCGCTGCGAGGTGTCTGCTGGACACTCAGCCTCACGCGGTGGAGGTTCGAGCGTCTCTGGTGGCCGCGTTCTTTTCGAAACCCCACTGGAATAACGCCGCCACGCACGGCATGGACGGCAACTCGCTCGCATCACTTGAGAAGGACGTGGCGAACACGGTGGCGGTGCTCTTGCGCCTGCCGGCACGTTTCTTATGGGCCCCACGTGTGGGAAGGGACGCAACGATAGAGAAGCAGCATGGGTCTCAGCAGTCTTCCACAAAACTGCGCGATGCTCCTCGTGTAATGCAGATCGCAGCCTCACAGCATCCCGCGGCTCATGGTAGTGGAGGCCGTATTGTGGGTGCCGGCGGCGGTGGGGGAATGCTGCACAGCACGTCACTGGAGAGCCTTATTGTGCTCCTCACAACTGCCCGGACCCAGGCACATGCTCGTTACCTCAGTGCCCACTTCTCCGGTCCAGAGGAGGAGGCACGCCTGACGCAGCGACTGGTGCTTTACTGCAGCGATCAGT